TCGTGTAGTCCGTGGTGAATTTTACCAGGAGCAGCCCTCGATGCCTCTGAGTCCTGATCTTGCTCCAGAGTTCCACTTTCATATGGGATCTCTGTCTTATGTTGATGCTCTTTTGCACCCCATTCATTTTTATACCGCTTTCCCACATGAGTCTGTTAGAGAGTAATATTAATTACCCAGAAATCTCAGTCTGCGATCATTTCAACATCATTCTTAAATGAAGACAGACTTCATTGCATGTATTTCTATTACTTCAGCTACTTCAATTTCTATTTTTATTGCAAAGTTCTGTGCAAATAAAAGGATATCAAAAGGTATGGCTATAAATGGGCTCTGCTAAATTCCCTCTGCCTTGAAATGCCTGTGAGCTTCTGCTACAAAATGCCTGTTGCATTTTAATGCCTTTCCTGCAAGGCAGCGTGATACGGTGGAAATCACACTGGTCCTGAAGTCACACAACGCCTGGTCCACCATTCGCCAGCTGTGCTACTTAACTTCCTGGAGCCTCGGCGCCGGCGTCTGCGAAATGTCACTATGTTATCTTCCCAAATTTGATTGAGGATTAGATGAGATGAAGTATTAAGGCATAAGTACTATACTTAGGGCATCACAGGGGCTTAATACATGTTAGTTTCTTTTCTCCAGCCTGCAGCAGTAATGGGAGGAGACCATGGCATACACAGAGCATCTGCCTTCAGCTCAGGTCATGATCTTGGGGTCCTGGCTGGGATCGAGCCCCACATAGGGCTCCCTGCTCAGCGGGGAGTCTGCTTCTCACTCTCTCTCTCCCCTCCTCCCCATCACTCATTCTTTCTCTTTCAAATTAATAAAACCTCTAAAAATAAATAAATAAAGTGTACGTCAATTGAGGTCACTGCAAACTAGAAGAATGTAAAGAATTAGAAGAATAAGGTTAGATTTCAAAGGAGGAGATAAGGCCTTTCTGTGATGTTTATTGCATATGGAAATGTATTGCTATAGGTTTACTGCATATAGGAATATATCACTATGATGAAAAGGACATGGTTTCTGAACTCCTTCACAACTTTAAGCTCTGTCCAGGTCGGAAGTGTAATAAGAAGAGCCTGTTTAACTATATCTACCTTTAAAGGCATAAGCAGTATCATTTATAAGAAGTCACTACAACATAAATCTGTTTTGTTATACTGCTTGAATTAATTTTACATAAAACTTCAGCACATTAAAAGTGCAGGAGTGGTGCTGACCATCTACATATGAATACAGGTAGAGTAGGAATTTTTGTAAGAATGGCCAAACTTTACTTCATCCAGTGAACAAATAACACAGAAAGCCTAATTTTCAAAGTAGGAACTTAGAGATGAGGTTATTGATACTTTGACTGATTTTATATGGTTGCAAGGCTATTTGAGGGACATCATAATCTGATGAAACTTTGGAAGCTTCTAAGGTATCTTTTAGTATAGTGGCTTTTTTTTGATAGTGGCTTTCTGAAGTTCTGGGTTAAGAAGGATTCTAAGGCCATATCTAGGTTCATTAGGAAAGAATGCTGTAATCAATTACTTAGGTCTGCTCTGGACAGGAAGTGAAGGCAGTAATAGCTTGTATCAGTGTGTTTGATATGTAAGTGTTCCATAAATAATAGCTATTATAATTATTGCCACTGTTATGACAAAGATGTTTTGATGTTCCTCTTCAAATTTCTACATTTTCAACACAAAATGGGATCAATTAACTGCTTCGGTCACAACAGCCATGCATATCATTTTTATTGACTTAGTGGTAAGTGTGTCAGTATTATCCGCAGAGAAGAGCTGAAAAATGGGATCGGAATTTGCTCGTCCTAATTTTATTATGTCAAACTCTTGATATAATCAAGGGGAAAAATCTGATATAGTTACTAAGGGCAGGATGAGGGCTGGAGAGAGGGAAAAAAAGAGATAAGGGTGAGGTGTAGTCTGGGGTCCTTATGAAAGGTTTGCACCATGTCCCACATCTTCTTTAAAATATTCACACCAGGGAGAAGATGCAGCATGTTTTGCACTTAGATGGTCCATGACTTCCTGACTTTTTTCCTGTTTTTTTCTCTGAGGCCAGATTTCTTTTCTGGGTAAATAGTCATGTTCCTGTCAGCCATAGGGGATTTTCTGAATCCTAAACAGCTGATTTTGTATTCTTGCCCCGTTCCCTCTATTTGAGAACTAAAATCTGATCAGACCCATATTTTTAAATTTATGTATTTATAGGCATATGGAAGAATAGTTTATAGTCTGAGTATGATTTTTTTTTTCCACTGCAAATGTAGGAAAATTGTGGGGAGTTTTAAAACAGTGCCTTACCATTTTTTTTCCTTTATTACTAATGACTTCATTCTGCTTGAATTCAGTGCTTCAGTTTCTTTGGGTAAACTAATAGATTATGTATGCAATGTTTGCACCGCGTTGATTGAACTCATCTGGTGAGTTTGAGCCTGGCTCACACGTTCACGTCATCAGCAGAAGCCTGTGCACCGCACACGGCTGCCATAGACAGCTCACGGTCCTCAAGAGGAAAGGAAGCTGGTCCTCAGAGACCTGGCCTGCCTCGCCTGCCCTCACATTGTTCAGAAAAGCATAGCAGACCTTCCATTATTTTTTCTTATTATCTTTTTCAAATGCTCAAAAACTCCTTCATTTTTTTTTTTTATTTGAGTGTAGCTGACGCACAGTGTTACCTTAGTTTCAGGTGTCCAGCAAAGTGATTCAGCCATTCTGTGTTGTACTGTGCTCGCCACAAGTGTGGCTTCTGTCTGTCACCACGCAGTGCTGTTCCAGTACTGTCAAGTATGTTCCCTAGGCTGTGCCTTTCATCCCCATGGCTGCTTCATTCCGTAACGGGAAGCCTCTACCTCCCAGTCCCCTTCACCCATTTTGCCCCTCTCTCCACTCCCTCTCCTCTGGCAACCACCAGAATGTTCTCCGTATTTCTGGTCTCATTCTGCTTTTTTCTTGGAAAAACTTTTACTTTAAGAAAAGCCTAGTAAAGAAACAAAACTGTTTTGAGTGTTTTTAAATACATATTGAAGAAAAATAAAGATATGTGATCCCCAGGGGTTTGTCTTTTTTTAATAAAAGGCGTGGGCTGCTGCATGTCTGTGGAATGCGTAGGAAGCCCAGAACCCTATGTTAACTTTGTAGAGATATTGTAAGACATCACCAGTTAACTTACAATCTAGTTGGGGAAGAATGCTTTTCCTCCAAAAGATGTTCACTCACCATTTTCTTTTCACAGTTTACAAGTCTAGCTTCAAAATTGTTTCACCAAATAGTAGATGACTTCTTTCTGTTGCTTTCCGGTATCTCCTTTAATGTGAAGTCTCCTTTAAACTCCTTTAAACTTACAACTCCACGGTAATACATGGGAATCTTCTGCCCAGCTCTTCACAGTGGATCCCTTTCTTGCCTTCTCAGTCTTGCCTGTCCCTCCTCACTGCCCCCTCCCATCTACCCTGTCTACCAGGGCAGTGATCCTCACCTACCCATCAAACACAAGTGTCCGTACGATTACATGTTGCTATGAATTGAGTTCAAGTACCCAAATTTGCAGGTGATATACTTCTGTCATTGATTAGAGTAAATTCAAAATATCCCTAAAGTCACCAGCACTCGTTTGTATTCTAACTCGCTCCCTAAATGAGAAAGGGAAGGGAACATGGGTTGTGTGAGATGTGTGTGTGTGTGAGGCAGGACAGAAGAAGTTGAAGATCACTGCTTGCCCACATGGACTTACTTCCATCTGTTCCCCCAAGGCGAGATGCCTTCTCATTTCTGTCGTCTGTATCGCCCTTCCCTCTACCTGAAATTTCCTCTACCTGAAATTTCCTCTGCCTGAAATTTCCTCATCCCACTTGTCCAGCTGTTGAACCCCTATATATCTTTCTAGACTCGCTAAGGTGTCACCTCCTCTGTGGAGCTTTCCATAATCATCTTCCATGGCCCTGCTCTCCCTCTGATAGTTTAAGCAGTCACTGTCCCCACAGTCCCTTATTAGACTGCTGTTGTAGCACCTGGACTGTAGCCTTCTGCATGCGCTTCAGTCCCCTCATTCCCAGACCATGTGCTTTTTGCAGACAAGGACTATGAACTGTTTATCTTCACTTTCCTAGATCTTAACACAAGCTCTGGCCCAATAGGACACTCGGTTATGTCTCAGATGAACCAAAGAAGTTGAATGGTTGTTGAAATGTGCCTAGCATTCTCCTCTTATTTCCTAGCCCTGAATTGTATCCCATGATGTTGGTTCTGTTGAAGCGATCGTGACTAATCCAAGCTAAAAGGGAGCCACTGGCTGACCAGTTTGGGGTTGCATGGATGAGTCACTGAGAAACTGTAATTCCTGAGAGAAGGACGGGACTAGAGTAGAGAGAGGAGAATCGGGAGTAATGTAATGAAGTAATGAAGGTGGAATATTCCACTATCACCCATTTCTTTAATTTTTCTTTTTACTTCTTGATGTGGCTTCTGCTTTCTTTGCTTTCCCTAGGCCCTGTGGGCCCATATGCTGACATGTATGCTACCCCCCACTTTAGCAATGCATCAGTGTCACTGACATGAAGACTGGCTCACGCCAACTCCATGCCACATCCCATCTTCAGGTTGAACAACTGGTCTCAATTTGGCAGCTTCTTATTGGAGAAAATGAAATAATTACATTAAAATTTAGCCAAATTCCGTGCAGATGATTGTAAGAAAAAAGAGATGGCTCTTTTAATTGCTCTAAAGGTCAGGACCTTACAGTACCTTTTCACTCAAAAGGAATTTGTTAATCCCAAGTCAAATGTTTTGACCCTTGGAGCTAAAAATATTTATATAAAGACCTTTTTTTGCTTACTTTTATTACTGATTTTACAGTTTTCCTAGCATATTTGAATCACATTGTTGAATCATCCCAATTTAGATGTCAGCTCCTTTAATAAGACCAAAAAGTGACTTCCCAGGCTGATGTACACCATGTGAGTGTGTTTGTATGGTTATGTCCCACAGTGGCCGGCCTGCGAGTGGGAGCACGGACCGCATCCAGAAGTTGCGCAAAGAGTATTATCAGGCCCGGAGGGAAGGATTCACCTTATATGAGGACGACGAGGGAAGAGCGAGGCTAGATTATGACCTTCACTGGGTAAGTCCGGGCCTCATTCTAATCATTGAATTCATCTCAACTGAGATAGTTTCTAGCAGAAGAACATGGCTAAGAATGTTCTATACATACCAAGCTATATTTAGCTTACTTGAGTTTCACAGATACGAGCATTACCCAAACCACAGCCATCTTGTCCTACAGAAGTTGTTTACATAAATCAAACCACACTAATGCACAGTAGTTTATTTTAATTGCTTTCGTATTTACTCTCTGTTGGACTTGTATACCAACATGTTAGGGCGGAGCAGATGGTCGCTATTTTAAAGAGGACAAGGAATCTACTGAGCCTTGATCCTTGCCTCCCATTGCTTGGGTTTCAGAATCTGGGCAAGCATTAACAGACCATGTGACGCAAACCATCTTTCCTTTGGGAAAGGATATTAGAAGTAAATCTCAGAATGGTCATCCTCAGAGCCACCAGTGGTGTGTATATGGCATCTGAGTAATTCCCATTTTGCCCATCTCACCAGTACGCTAAGAGACGTTTACTTTGAGATAAGAACAGCTTTTGTATTTTGCCAAATCCTTCAACATTTGTGAGCAGGAAAGAAGACTGTGACCTCTAAAGAGAGCTTCTGTGGGTTTTTCCAGGAGACGTGATTCATTCTCTTTTTTCAAGAAGGCATGGCTATACCGACAAAACATACTTAACTTTGGAGCATCCACAAAAATACCAGAGGAGAGTGCTTAGAGCTGGATTAAAGTACATGTCACATACTTAGAGCAGGTGCCTGCCACTGACTTGGTATTCAATAAATCTCGGCTCTCATTACTCACATTATTGGAGCAGAGCTGTCCATTGTAATAGTGATGTCCTTGCCGTGAGGCCAGCTCTCACTCACCCTCTTTGATGGTTACTGCCTCCTACTACCATTTTTAGTGCTGCTTTGAGAACCACACAAGGAACTCTCTTATCCCTGGTGGCCACTAAAGACACCAGCTCTTGTGAAGGACGAATCTATTAAGGGAAAGTTTCCTTTCCTTATTTTCACACTCATGTGCTCACAAGGTCAGGGTTGGGAGAGCAGAGTCCAGCAACCAGGCGGATTCCTTCCGTTTCTCACTTCAGTGCTGTGGCTTCTCACGTGTGGCACCTCCCATTTTTGTGCTAGTGTTTGAAAGGAAGCAGCTGCAGTACCCACCGCTGATGTGCAGAGCCCCTGACACTCCTCGGCTCGGTAGATGCTTCTGGTACGATGGCGTTTAATCAGAAATGCGAAGTAAGGATTGGCGGTCTCCGACCAAATGGCTCTGGCCTCTTCCAGAGATAGGCACTTGTAACTAGAGGTCAGAACACAGAGCTTTCTGTTGGTTTTATTACAGATGTTAGGATTAAACAGAATGGCATTTATAGTGATGGGGCAACGGGTCGCTTCGACTCTTGGTAACGGAAGAGAAAGATTTCCCCAGAATAACAATTTAGATAACAATTCACTTCATTTTAAACTTAATTGAGATCAATGTATCAACTTTGATGACAGACTGTATACATAAGGCTCTGCTCCCTCAATCAAACAAACAAGCAATAAAAAAAAGGAAGTTTTTCCACCATAACCAAAACAGACCACCATGTCCAGGGCGTGGAAAAGTCCTCCATCTCAACATCACCACAAACAACTATAAGCAAAGTAAGGCAAGTAATTTTAGATGAAACAGTCCTGGTTGTTTTGACCTTATTTTATGTGATCTCCTTACACCAAGCGAAAGGTTGAAAATGCTTAAACTTCATGAGACTTCAGGTTTTCCCTGACCCTCACCAAACTTGAAACAGATAACCCATCCACTCCAGTGCTCTCTATCTTGATGATTCTGGTTTTATTCCAAGCAAATGTGGAACCAGACAATCTAGGGAGTAACGAAGTATCTCTTTTAATTTGTGTTTCCCATGCTCAAGTGTATTGAGTGTTGCCAAAAGTGATTTTACGTTTCTGAGATGAGTGGGGACTAAGGCATCCCAAAGGGGTGCTTGCAAAGTGTGCTGTCATAAAAGCCTAGTGCTCTCTATGACAACCTGAGAGACTCCAAACCAGGGAGGAGAGTCTCAGCCCTTTCTCTACCTCTCTGCAAGCCAAGGGAAAACACTAGTATCTTTTGTCCAGTGCAGGCCTGACAAATCACACTGTGGTCTTGCTACTTTTGGATAGATCTAGGAAAGCAAGTTTAGAAAGTTAGCGCTTCATTCCTGCTTGTCATCCAGATCTAACAAGGCTGCTTTTCTTGAGACTGTGGTTCCTGATCTGTCTGGTCTTCAGCATCACAAGGGGTGCTTGTTAAAATTGGATCACCAACCCATAAAAAAGAAGGGTGGGGCCCAAGGGAGGGTGGCTAGGTGCTTCTCTGTGTAATTATCAAGGTATCTGCCCACGATTCTAAAAATAGGACACTGAGGGGCACCTGGGTGGCTCAGTGGGTTAAAGCCTCTGCCTTCAGCTCAGGTCATGATCCCAGGGTCCTAGGATCGAGCCCCACATTGGCTCTCTGCTCAGCAGGGAGTCTGCTTTCCTCTCTCTCTCTCTCTCTCTCTCTCTGCCTGCCTCTCTGCCTACTTGTGATCTCTGTCTGTCAAATAAATAAATAAAATCTTTAAAAAAAAAATAGGACATTGATTCCACTCACTGCCTTAAGCAAAATAGTTCAACTTCTCTAACAAAATCATGACATGGACCAGCATCATCAAAAATGACTTTCGTGGACTCAGAACTTCCTGGACCTAGTACTTCAGATGTAGAGGCCTACAAATATTCTAGAGTCCCCCTAGACTGGGAAGCTTCTGAACTATGGAGAAGCAAATTAGGAAGATAAGTTGCCTCAGAGCTACTTCTAGTTGACCAGACAGAATAAAAGTAGGCTCACAGAAGTCTTCAAAGCCAAAATTAGTAAAGCAATCACTGGAAAGATTAGTAAGATCTATGAATATTTTTAAAAATATGTTGTTGTCGTTGGGACTAATAATTCTATCCTTGGCCTACCTCGGACTTTCTCATTTTCCCAGGCTATCGTATAGGCAGTTCTCTGTCCGGTGGCTCCAAGCTGAAGGCTTTCCCCACTGCTCTCTTGGGTTCCCACTTGCTTCCACAGCCCTTGCTTCTTTCTCTCTTTTGTCTATGGCTCTGATCAAATTTTCACATAGGCCAGGTGCCAATCCAAGAATAGAGTATTATCTCTACCTTGGAGGAACTCACAGTCTAGCCAGGAATACAGACAACAGAGGCAAAATGAATAAAAGGACAATAACATGTGAGAAATTCTGTAGTAGAGAACGTCTTGGCTTCTCGACGAGCTCAGCAGCAGCAGTTCCTTCCGCTGAAGGCAGGGTGTGTGGCCAGGGCTGCGGGGGACTCCATAGAGTCATTTAGGAGTTGCCTCAGCGGGCAGATTTGGTTCCTTTTCTCATAGATTTGGTGGTTTTCTTTTTCCCAAAGGAGCTTCTGATTTATTCACTTCATTTGTGTTCAGATAAATGAACACACACACAGATTGCAAGGTTTGTAAATATGGACAAGAGACCTTAAAAATCTTTTCAGCTAGCCTGTTCTGGAGCTGTTTTCCCAGGGAGGCTCTGAAAAGCTGTAAAGAACAAGTGGAGAGAATTTCAATGGTGGGAAGTGAAATGGCCTGGCGAGTTTTTATAGGCCCAATTAAGTAAGCAAGATATGCTAGCCGTTAAGTGTTAATATTTGCCAAAAGAAAACATAATACCTGTTATCTCCTGGTATGTTATTTTCTGTAAAACTTGTTAAGACGATCACAGTCCTCTGGCAACAGACTGGGGTATTCTTTATTAGCAGATAAAAATGATCTGCTTATTTAACGGCAGCATGAAGATCCTGCAAGTAATTTCAGAAACGGGATGGCTCCAGAGTTTTCTAAAAATATCAGTACCTTTATTATTGTCTTTTTTCAAGAGCTGCATGGCATAGACCGTATGCTTCCTCCTCTTTTTAACTCTCTGGCTAAATTAGAATTTCTATCTATGAAAGGGGTTTATAGATACAAAGACGGGAAGGAGGTACTGAAACTCCCACTGTCATAGAATACAGGGTCGTACCTCTCTGGCCAAGGGGATTGGTTCAGGTGATGGTTGGGTGAATAAATGGAAACCGAAACTCTGAAAGATTCGCTCACTCTGAAGATGGCCTAGGAGCCAACTTGAAGAAACATGGTTGGCAGCTGTCTAGACAAGAAAGACACATCTGGTGAATTCTGCAGTCAGAGGAAGAGAGAGCAAGATGCGATCATGCTAACCATCTTATGAAAGGGATTTAAGATGGAATGTGTAATAGCCACACAAGTGTAAAAACTATCAGAAGGTTATTTTCTAAATATGAGGGATAAGAGAAATGAGTTCCTGCTGTCAATGGTCCAACACCAGAATTGAGTTGTCTGTATTTTCCCTCTCTGCACCTTAAAGATATCTGAAAAAAACAAAACAAAACAAAACAACTAAGGACACTGATGAAAAATTCTAGATTAGTCAATGGCTCTTAGGTCACAAAAGAACATAAATCTGACTCAAACTGGCCTAAGCAAAAAGGGAAATTTTGTTGGCCTGTATAAGTTTAAAATCCATAGGTATATCTGACTTCAGGCAAAGCTGGATCCAGCTCCATCGTTATTCTCTTTGTAGGCACCCTTCTCAGGGATTCCTTCATATGGTAGTGAGACAACCAGTGGCAGCTCCAACTCAACACCTTTATAACCCCCCCACCCAGTACATCCAGGAAGTCTTAGAACTGACGTTCGATGCAATCCTGAATGGCTTCTTGACTCAGCCTGGGTCACATGCCCACTTCGGAACTCCCTTGTTGAGAAAGATGCAGTACCATTACTGGCCAGAACTAGGTCACGAGATCACCCTGGAACCACAAAGTAGAATCAGGCCTACACAAATCCCATAAATGAGTCTAGATGAAGAGGTAGTCCCCATAGGAAGATCAAGGTGCTAATTAACAGGGGAAGGGAGGAGGGATGTTGGGCAT